CTGAATTTATATACGTACATATGATTGGATAGCTTTTACTACCCGGTAAAATTGGCGCTTTTTAATAGTAATAGATTAGATGTCTTTTACTAACCGGCAAAATTGGCGCTTTATATAAGGGTTGGATGTCTTTTATTACCTGGAAAAATTGGCGCTTTATATAAGGGTTGGATGTCTTTTACTGTCTTGTAAAATTGGTGCTTAATATATGGATTGGATGTCTTTTACTGTCCGGTACTGTAGTAAAAATAAAACTATAATTATACAAAAAACTCTTCCTAATGATCATTTGGACCAAAATTTTTCACCAAAAGGAAACTAACTTTTGTTAAAGAGTTGTCATAGTCTAATATAACAGTTTGCCTAGAGGTCAACAGTTTTCTGTTCTGGAACTTCTCTATAAGTTGTGTATTTGATATGCAAGCCAAGAGCATTAGTAGACAAGATAACTGGCAGAAGGTATACACCCTTGAATACAAAATTTTGGTAAAGGGACTAGAGTCTTTTTTATTAATAAAGTTATCTAGGCTGTTTTTTTCTGAAGAAGAATACAAAAAAACAACAAAAGCTGATTTTTTTTAAAGCCACACTCTTTTACTTGGCCAAGTGGTTTCTTCTTTACTCCCATTTACCTTCCTGTTGGTCTTTCAAAATTTTTCAGAAAAGATAGAAATTTGGCTTACTCTCTTTAAAAGATTAACATTGTTTATCTCTAAATCCGAATAGACTGATATATAGCAACACATGTCCGAAAATAGATATGATGTTCAAGTGCTAGAACAGGTTCTAGTCAAAAAAAAAATCTCTGATTGTAGCAGCAAGTGTTTGAGATACAGATTTATGGATAGCGACAACACCTGCTTAAGATATGAATTAGATTTATAGAAAAATCTGAAGTTGGGTCAGAAAGAAAAATAATAATAAGACATAGTCTTACAATAAAAAATACAGATATTGCTCTTATATAATTTTTATTAATTTGGTATGGGTTATAATAGTGCACCTTTGTTTCTTATATATGTCAGGTTTGCCAGTCTTTTTTTTGCTTTTTTTATATATTTTTTTTTATATATAAATAGAGTTTAGGGTTTTTGTTCAATTCTTGTTTGTATATGCTTTAAATTTCTGATCTTTCATAAATTTTGATATTATTTTTTTCTCTTATACAAATATAAAAGATTTAATTATTCTGCCAGAATCTAGGTGGAAAAAGTTTTAAAGGAAGATGAGTAATCTTGACACAATAGACAACCTGTTTATGATCAAAGAAGTACTCTTGTTAGTACAAAATTCGACAGTTAGTGTTGAATCCTAAGTAAGACTAATAGTTGTTATAGCAAGTTGTATTGGGCATTTTGCTTAGTGAGTTTTTATTAGATTAAAACATTATACTATAAGAATATAAGTACTTTGTACTTTCATTAATTAGTAGTTTTAATGAAAATTGCTTAAAAAAAAAAAACAAAAAAAAACTGTGATTATATTGAGGTTGTAACTATAAAAAAGGTGACTATAAAGAGGAAAGGCTGTACTTAATAAGAAACACAATGCTAAACATGTATATTTATCAATTTGTTACTTAACCCCAACCATATTTGTATTTTGAACTTTGACTATTTTTTGATTCTTTCACAGTGAGTATTAGTATTCATAAAACCAGAAATAGTTTTTTTTTGTTTACATTTAAAGAATATTTAATCTATATTGACATTAGCCAATAATACATTTTTGACTAGTAGATAAAAAAAATATTATTTGCTTCGAAGGTTCCGGTCGGTTCCGGTCCATGATGGATCCGATCCGGTTTTTCGGTTCTGGTTCGGGTTTTTTCTAAAACCCGGCCCGTGGGGAAGTAACTAGAAATTAGCGCACCTTCGGTGTTTAAAATCGACCAATCAAATCGCATACAGCAAATACCCAGTTATTCGGCCTTCATGCCGAATAACTATTAATTATATATTATATAATAATTAATTGTATCATTTTACGGAGAAATAATTAGCGAAACAAACGACAAAGTACTAAACTACCCATGGCAATTGTGAGCACAACATACATAGTCGGAGACCCTATCGCTTCTATAGTAGAAACAAATTTTTGCACACCCTAGGAAATTGTCTTATTAACACAAAAAAAACAATCCGTGCTAAAAATTTCAGAAAAATGATTAGAATATGATTAGACCAAAAACGTTTTTTTGATTGTTTTTATATATTTCATCATGTTATAGATCTTGTTAGAGACTTTGTGCCGTTATGTCACATCCTCACATAACTCTTAAAACCATATGTAACGTGAATGTAATAAATCAAATGATAACGATAATAAAATAGTTGATTGACTCTAATGGACAATTTATACTCGTTTGTGTTACTAAGAATGCTAGTGATATTACACCTTTTTTGGTCGTGATACGAAACTGGGAATTGAATCATGATTCTGATTACATCACGATTAATTCAATTATGGGTTAATCAAACAATAAAGGACTATATAACTGATATCATAGATATCAAGGGTTTTACAATTCTAAAAGCTATTAGGCATTCCTACTCGAATTTTAAAGAAAACTTTGTCGAAAAGTTTATTACTTACGATTTGAAGTTTTATTTTGAAGTGGAAAACACTTTTATAATTATTTTTCACTTATTGTGTACATATTCGATATGATTATTAGACCTAAACTAACGCCTATATTCAACGTATCCTGTCTAGTCGCTAAATCACTTAATTTTCTTAATTTGAAATGAAAATAACGAATTTTAATTTATAGCATTGATTTAACAAATTTGATTGGTTTTTGAGGTTGACACCGTTGACCAAAAATGGGACATAATTTGGGTTTTGGTTATAATCCCAAATGAAGTAAAATTCCCGATCTCAAAACCAAAACTACGTAGTTAATGTCATAATACAAAAAAAGATTGGGCACAACCCTAACGAATACCAACTATATCAACTACTCCAATATTGGATGATGATGGTCTTGATGCACGTCTGTCTTCACCATCAACCACAACAGAAAATTGTGGGATCTCATGTTCATGTTCATTATCTTGTTCTGGCAATAATTGTAGATGTGGATATGGTTGAGGTAGTCGTCTTTGATCTTTTTCTTTTGGAAGCCTCGCATGTTCACCTGGAGACGCGCCTACATTTCCTGGAGATACCAGGGCTGCAGCTATCTGAATCTGAGGTGGAACTTGAATATTTCCAATTGTACTAGCACGAGGTCTTAAAGTAGTCCCTAAACTCGGTTTTGGTGCCAAAGTCGCCATTTTATTTGAAGTTTGTTGCACTTGTGGTCGTTGACCAGTTGTATTACTATCATGAGATGTTATTGTTACAGATGGCATTTCATGAATTACAACCGGATTTTTATGTGGTATCTTTGGTGATGTGTTAGGTGTCTTATATTGTGAATGTGACGGTAACGGTGTCAAATGTAATGATTGTGAATTTGTAGACGAAGGAACCGATTGTGCGGATGTAGTGCTAGATTTATTGGATGATTTAAGTTGCATTGGCGGCGTAAATTTACCGGTGAACTTCTCACCCGTTATGAATGGATGTAATTTAGCTTGCTGCGGTGACCACCGTTCAATGGGATTGAGATTCAATAATCCTTGCACAAAATCAATAAAGGCTAGTCGATTTTGCATTTCTGAAATATAGTATTTCATTAGTTGCGGGTTCATTATCAGCACGTGACAAATTCATAATATACATATCGTCACCTTTATCAATATCTTTCTGAGTTACACCTTTCCTCATCACCGGATAAGACTTTATAATTTCAGGTAAAGTTGTAGCTGAGAAATATCTCTTGGAAGGTTGTTCCACACAATTATTATCCCTCATATACTGCTCCATCGTTTTCAAACGATATTTCTTTTGACCATGCTCATTTATATACCGTTCGAAATATTCGTGAGCCGTTTTACCTACTTCGATCATATATGGTGGTGGAACGCCTAACATTTCAACGATTCGGGAGACTTGATTATATTCTGAGCTCCCCGGAAACAGAGGCAATCCGAGAAATAGTTCTACTGCAATGCATCCTAAAGACCACATGTCTATTGCAGATGAATATCTGATAACAATTAGTGAATAAATATTAATAAAATTATGTAATGTGCAGAGGATGTTCATCGAATAGATTAAGTGTGTAATATACGTACGGCAACCCTAATAAGACTTCTGGACTTCTATAAAATCGTGATTGAATGTACGTATATACCGTTTGACGTTCATGACACGCAGAACCAAAATCGATAACTTTGATTGTAGGTGACTCTAGGCTACAAATAAATTTAATTCCAGTAAACAAATTCTTAGTATTTTAAATAACGAAAAAATAGTATCATGTAAAAGCCAATAACGCACGAAGCTTTCACACACTTTTTCAACAATACGTTTTCAGGCTTTAAATCGCAATGAATTATGCGAGCTTCATTCAGTACAGTAAGTGCATCTAGTAATTGTGAGGTAAATACTCTAACGAGATTAGTGCTAAGTCCACGAAATTGATTCTGCTTTATTAATTCATACAAATTAACGGATAAAAGTTCGAACACCAAGCAAAGATGACGACGATGAATAAATGTATCTAAAAGCCTTAAAATATGATGTTGGTCTTGACTATCCCACGTTTGATTTAACTTTGAAAAATTAAAAAGGAATAATTAATAATATATATATTGAGAAAAAAAAAACTAATTTGCATTTATCCATATATTACCAGTTCTAATATAGTAACTTCCATCATACTTTGATTAAAGTAAGCTGGTTTATTTTTCACGACTTTGACTGCAACAATGTCTTTTGTCTTCAAATTCTGACACTTCACAACCTGACCGAACGTCCCTTGGCCAAGAATATCCAAAATAAGATATCTAGCGAATAACTTTGATGTAAAAAATTTTGAACTTATTATAGAAATATATTATAAAACTTATTCACTTACTTCTGTCCCTCCTCACTTCCTAATATATCGTTTACATATAAAATATAATCACTGTCTTCGTTATCAAATCCATCGTTTTTTACACCCTTTGAAGGCTTTGTCAAAACGCGACGCGGATTATACGATAATTCGTATCGGAAATTAGGATTTATATTGTGATAGGTTGATGTAAGGTATACGGTCATCGATTTAAGTGGCTGTGTTCGTTTTTGAATAGTTACGAGCACAATTGTATAGGTTATCCCATGATCGTCTGATAAAAATAAGTATGACAAGAAAAAAAGTTCCGCGAACTATTATATATACCGCAGAGTAATAAAATCACACACATACACTGACAACTCCTTTCGTAGAATCTGCTCTGCGGTTCGCTGGCTGAGGCCGTAAGTCTGATTTAGACCGGACACGTTGAAAAGCTGATTTTCGAAGGTCAGATGTTGTACCGTTTTCATTACGCGTCGTGTGTGCAGAAGTTTGTGATGATTTAATTGGAGAGGAAACGGTAGGGGTTGATAAATTAGGAAAATTGTTAGGAGATGAAGGTTTAGAATTAGAATATGTAGTATTCTGGTATGTGATCTGTACTGGTGGGTTTTGTATTGATGGTGACTGTTGACCTGATTGACTTTGAGAAGGACGCCAATTGTTAGCAATTAGAGAAGGATGTGAGTGCTGTTTATGTGAATGATGTAACAAATGAGGCGATGGAACATGCTGTTGTGGTAGAGGTGGGAGTGGTAAATTTTGCGGTCCTAATAAAGATCGATAGTGGTGCTGAATATTTTGGTTTTGGGTTACAGAATAATGTCCAGAAGAGGAAGTTTGAATATAATTTTCAGAACGCCTTCTACCACGACCCTCAGGGACCTCCTTATGTTGAGACGGATTTGGTGCAGAAAGCGGTTGATGCTGTGGATTTAATTGTTGCTGCTGGTGTGAATGGTGTGAAGGAGATGACGTTGATATTAACGGAAGTGAAGTCATTTGCTTTTGAGAATAATCATCGCTTATAGTAATTCCAACATAATCAGTCCTCTCGGCATTATTATATTTGTGTCCAGGTGATTGAGTATATACCGCATTTGTACCAGCACGCCTTCGATTATGTGAAGAACCATCCATTGTTCTTGTATAATTTTAATAAATCAGATGTTAAAAAATTATGTAATTGTTGCCATATTTTTAAGAAAATGATAGATAATATTGATATAAATACCAATTAGATATCTTGAAAGTGTTAAATTAATTTATTGATTAACCTTTTGGTATTTATATTCAAGGAGACCTATTAAATATAAATTTGGTGTGTTTCGTGTAAACGTAAAGAGAAAATAATTACGAGCGCGTTTTCATTATAATATAAAATCAATTATATTTTCGCTTACAAACTTAAGTGAATAAGAAATAATTACAAAAAGATACGTAAGCGGATTAAACACGGGTAATCTTTGAGTTACAAAAAAGCCAGGTTGCATATAATAAGACACCAACGATCCAAAATTTTATACTTACCAAAGTTAGCTAATGTTTCACTATGAACAAAATTATTATTCGTAATAAAGTCAAGTGTCAATCCAATAAAGCGCCTTAGGAGGCAAACGCATTAATTGCGCCGAGCTAAATTTTAATTTTACTACGCTGAGTCTACAGTGGAGTTGATTGAATAACAGATCGAAACTAGAAAAATAGCAACCGAACTCGTTGCTTGTCAAAAAAAAAAAAAAAAAAAAAAGAAGATATATAGTAAAATGAATCCAAAGACTACAGCGGTTCAATTTTCTTGACAAAGATTTAATTGGCAATATACAATTTGCCAAATGTGAAGGCTAGTCAATTAACTAGTTCGACCTTAAAAATGTTCAAGTTTTTGTGTTCGTAATTCGAACTATAGATGAATTTTAGTGTTTACGTACTTATGTAGACTGTATTTGACTTTACAAAGCTGGCAGCCGTTTTTTTTAAAAAATTACCTATTATGGTATGGCCTTAATACGATCCCTATAAATAGTCAGCAAGATATTGCATAACTCTTACCAGCTTTATTAGTCACGTTTTATATGTTGGGCAAAATAATAATAAATTCCGATATTCCGGTCACAAAATATCTTATAATGGCCGGGTATATTTGTGAAGAACTTCTACCGCATACACCTTTCATTTATGATTTTCTGCACTACGTTACCATTGTTTTATACTTAAATCTAGAAAAAAATAATTCAAATTTTAGTTATAAACAGATTACTTAAAATTACAAATATAATATAGACTTTTTTGACTATAAGATCAAGGGTAGTAATTCTCTTACGTCATATAAAATTCTGCTGTGCCGTATATTATTTTAAATATTTGTACGTATTTTTGGTTATTACATACAGTATACTGTATTATATATATCTATATATTATATATATGTCGGTACCCCAGATTGGAATCGACTCGATTCAGAATCGGGCTGCCCTTGTGAATTATTTTGGCAGAATTAAGACTTTAGGGTTAGCGTTTAGCGTTAGGGTTAGAATTAGGGTATAAAATTTTTAATTTTGGTTAGGCCAAAATTACAAAATTCTTATCCCGATTATTCCAATTCAGGGTACAACATATAGTGGGGTGTTCAGGCAAAATTGTTTCTAAGTAATATTTTTTTATTTTAATTCTATTTAGTTATAGAATTAAAATAAATAAAAAAATTTATCAAGTTTGGTTTAATATTTGTTGAGATATTTTAATTTAAAGTTTTAAAAAAATTTACTAAAAACAATTTGCCTGGTTTCTACTAACACCCTTATATATATTGTATATACTAGGTGTTTCAAAAATTTAAAACATGGTTCAGTGATCTTATTATTTATAGTTGTTATGATCTTTATAAGATTACTTAAAAAAGAGATCATGTTTTGGAATTTTTAAACTATTTTGTTTATATATACTGTAGTTTAGAAAAAAAAAATAAACTTATTATATTTAAAAAAAATTATAAATATATATAATCTGTTATATAGTGCTTCAAGTTATTTATTAAAAAGTTTTAAAATTTTTATTTAAATTAATTTTAATTAAATAAAAGTTTTAAATAAAATTTTTTTTTTTTAATAGATAGTCTTGCAAAATTTTTATTAAATTAAGAACTATGTATATATTATACAAGGTTTCTAACTAAGTCTATTAAACTATTCTATTTATAATAATAATTTATTTAGTACTTTTATACCTAGATACAACTGCTATAACAGCCTTTTTTTTTTCTTTGGCTTTCAACTTACTAACAAATTTGACTATTTATTACTATTTATAGTATTATTCCCAATTTGCTTTTTATATTATTTTCAAATTAATAAAGTGTTTTGTTTTGAGTAGATACTTTTTTGCTTCTAGTTTAATATTTCAAAAAATATTACTTTCTAATATATTAGCTAATTTACAGTAAAATCTGAACATATATACCTCTCATGTACATTAGGAAATTTTTAAATAAAATGCATATTTCCAAACGATTGGCATAGATTACACAGTGTTTACATTCCCATATCTGGGTGACGTGGTAGATGGCAATCACGTGTCTGATAAGCGGACATGGTGCTACCGATTTTGGCTCGGGGCCGTTGGAAACTGAAGAGTCGGCGTGGGACGATGACAGTACCTGATTAGAAAAACCTAGGCGAAGACTTCTGGAGATAGTAGGGTCGGAGAGGAATTAATAGTATCCCTTAAATTGTTTTGCAGCCAAATTTGTCTGCAAACTTTTTTAAATTTTAAATTTTTCTAATAAAATTTTAAATATTGA